CTGTTCTGAAAATTTAGCTGTAATAGCTACAACCTTCGATTCAATTTTTTCTATAAACAAAGTGAACTGTTCCTCTATAGTAGCCGAGTTACTATCCACTTGTATACGACGTGGGGTGGAGCAATCGTTAACTTGTGCAGAAGGCATACTGTTATTGTTCTGCGACATCACGTTTTGAAACGATTGCTCAATGAAATCTTGCAGCTCATCAAGTGTTGAGTAATCGCAGGATATTTGGGATATTGGGAGTGACACATTTTTAGTATTGACTTTACCATGGTCACTGGGTATTTTATGCTCATTTTGTCCATCATACAACGATTTGTTTTTATCTGACGTGTTCTCAGAGGCAGTATTTGAAGTGACTGACTCTGGGCCCGTATAATACGCCGGCCGGCTTTCCTTATTCGTACAAATATTAATAAAAAGTTCATTTAAACAGTCACCTGTTTTCTCTTGGAATGATAGAAAACCTCTCTCGTAATTCCAGCTGAGGATCAAATCAGAATTGGAGCTTGTAAATCGCCTATATTTGCCTCCGGGTGACGACCATATGCCTGTCTGAGCAATGGCACATTTGGTGAATATTTTCAACATTTCAAGGCTGTCCGTCCATCTAATACGCTTTCTATCAAAGACGAAGCATTCATTGTCTTTATAGCGGAAAATTTCATCAAGATCCCATTCATTTAAGTTGTTTTTAAGGAAACCAACAGAGCTTGTTTGAACACAACCGGCCGCCATTTTGCATACATTACGTTAGCTGATCTATTGTCATTTGTTTGTGTACTCGAAATTTACTGTTTTCAAGGATGATATCGGAAATCCATAACTACAATACACGAAACTCATCATTATTACACAAAAAGTGTAGCAGAACAAATTATACAAAACATACTCTAACTAATAAGGGAATTGATATATGGAATAATCTTCCTTCGAAATATAAAGAAAATAGATCGTATGGGTCTTTCAAGAAAACAATGAAAAATTTCTATCTGCATTTAAAAACAACAAATTAACATCCTTTTCACTAGCTGTAAATTAACTATATATATATATACTATATTATTCTTTGTTAACATACTTACTTTTCTCCATTTCTATTGTAAAATTTTAAACATATAGCTCATCATTATATCTTAGTACTTGTTACTATTCTCCTTTTTTTTTTTTTTTTTTTCCAATCCTTACTACAATGAAAAACACTCGAACTGGCACCTTATATATGTTATAGTTATTTAATTTGAATTTGTATCTAGGGACCTTAAATAAAAGCCTTTTGGTTTCTAGTATAGGTTCCTAGCCCTAAAAATTTGTAAATAATGTATGTTGTTAAATGTTATATTTTGGGCGAAAATTAAAAAAACCAACAAAAAAACAACAAAATTTGTCCCCCATCAATCCCCCATTTACATGTATAGGCTAGTTTCCACTCAGGAAAATTATCCGTGGATTGGAACGGACCAGAACATTTTTCTTTGTGTTAAGTCATTAGTTCCAACCCAGAGCTCACAAGACAAAGAAAAATTTTCTTGTCCGTTCCAATCCACGGATAATTTTCCTGAGTGGAAACTAGCCTTTACTGGAAATCGCTTGTTGGATCGGAAAAGCCTTCTATCCGGTCCGATCCGCGCTGCTTATTTTCCAGAGTGGAAATTAGTTATGATTGCTGCTTTCATGCATGTAAAGAGTCGCGATTTAGAGTCATATATTATTTTAAACTTTGTTGTATTGTATATAGTGTATTCAAATTGTATTTTATGTCGTTACCATATTCTTTAAATCATAATACGTTCAAACAGTGTTAGAAAAAAGTAGGGAGCGGGAAATTGGGATGAGGCATGGCGGGATAATGGGATTTGAAGTGAAAATCGGTTGGGATGGCGGGATTTCGGAACCCGGTACAGGCCCGTCATGAAATTGCACTCGCCTGCGTTCGGATGTTTCGTGTACAATTTGAAAAAATCATGCACGAGTAAGTTTTTCAAGCACGATATTCAGTTCTTTAAATTAAACTGAACCCGACTCTGGTTGACGTTCAGTTTAAAGAACTGAATCTCGTGCTTGGAAACTCGTGCATGATGTTTTCAAATTGTACACGAAACGTCTACAAAATACCAGTGACAGTGTCAATACCGGAATTCTGGCAATGTTATTCGGACAAGAATTGACGCAATCTCTTTTATTATACGCTGCGGAAAATTGCGTGTGCAATGCAGGCTGACAAAGACACTGATAAGATTCAATCAAAAAAGCAAAGCATGACGTCATAGCGGCCAATTATGGGTATATACGCATTTTTAATTTAGTGGTATAAAAACATTGATTTGTAGTTCAAGCCGTAAGCAGTTTCAAGAATTGATTTTATGACAGGAAGTGTTTAAACAACGGGAACCTTTGCTTTTGACATTATACGTCTCATTACACTACAGCATTTTCGCGTTGCTCTTGATATCTGGAAACATCAAACATTGATGGTTATTCAGTATAAACGCGAGTTCAGGTAAGTTATTTATTAAATCCGCAACAGTTGCATACTATCTGAGGACGAATTTCTAAACTGCTTAAATTAAACATTCTTCATTGTATATATAGTATACTCCTTAATATCAGGGTAAATGAGAACTAATATCATTATATATGCATTCAGTACTACATAGCTACTATAAATTCAACGAAATTGAAACTAGATTTATTTATACGTGATGAGCCGCTTTCATCGTGGTATATAGACTACATGTTATGGCAGAGGTCTAGTGGTCCATCCGCGTAACTATACAGGACAAAATTTATTCATACTGGAGGATATTCTTGCAAACTGATCCACTTCTTCATTGTCAATATTCGTGATATCTGATTTGCCAACTTGGTTTTAGACTATTAAACTGTTTTTCGTCGAGGTCCAGCGTAAAAAGAGATTAATCTGAATGAGTTTATACTGGATAACTTTCTGTCTTCTTTTTTTATTTAAGTTCGAATTCGCCCAAAACATTATACTGATACATGAGATAATATAGAACTATTTACTATTTACAAACGTGGTCTAGAACTATCATATTCATGCCGTTTATGCTGGATATCAATCTCGAACGTTCTGTGGCAGTGTAGGTGGTGCCAATAACAAGAAAGGTGGGATTAGTAGGGAACAACTATACCGCTCAGTGAGAAATACAAGGAGAACTTCATATTTCATTTATACTCGGTGGGCTCTATTAGTCTTCTCCCTAAGGGCATCACCTATATTCTATAATGTTCCTGCTTACAACGGGAGGGAGCCGTTAATATCGATGTTGATCCTGGATATGCTGATACTGGATAGTTACCTCTTTCAGTTCTCACCGATTGTGGTTGTTACGACAGTAGACTAACGGACCGACTAACGGACTCCTTGGTGTTGGAGATCGAGTGTGTTTGACTAGAGAGACTAGAACTCTGCAAAAAGCTAGTTCCGGCAAAATTAATTTACAGCACTTAATATGTTTTATATGTAAATGTTCTGTCGAGCTAAATAGCTTAGGGGCCATTCACAAAGGATGTCCGAGCCGAGGGGGGGAGGGGGGTTTGGACAATGCCGGACAACGGGGGGAGGGGGGGGTCTGAAAATCCATCATTTGGCCGGACATCCTTTGTGAATGGCCCCTTATAGCCTCCCTAACATTAGTCTTCCTGATTGACTATGGAATGTGATGCGTACGTGATACTAAAAACTCCTGTCGCGATAAATATGTGCATATTATGTGCATGGGCGTTAATTATAGTTCTTTGTCCGATTGCGTGCCAGAAATATAAAGCCTGCTTCACACGAGATAAGCCCAAACGTGAGAAAAAGAAAAGGCCAAACAAAGAACTACAGTAAAGCATGCGACATAACTTAAGCCTGGTTTCCATATGGTCGTAAAAATAGAGTCACGCGATCTTTCTCAACGGCCTGTTTATAGCCTAATAGTTTATTCCTGTAAACCACATATAAATAAGTATTCATAATAAATTAGTATTCTCTAGATTCTATAATAACTCCGCGTAGTTTCAATTCTAAAATGTTGTATTAAATATTTCGGCCAATGAGAATCGAAAGATCGTGACTCAATTGATGGAAAGCAGGCTTTAAATGCACAAGCATCAGACTTCTACTGCATAAGCATGCATAACCTAAACCTAAAGGAAACGATAGGCTGTTCAAAAGAAAATTCTGTCCGTTTTGTGTTTGTAGTCCCAAAGGTAAAGTTTTCTCTTTTTTCCAGTTTGTGCTTATCTCATGCACTCGTGTGCATGAACCAGGCTTAATTGTTTGGTATTCATAAATAAATCACGTTTACTGCTGATTATTCGATTGGTAAGCCTGCTGCCTGCATGGATTTTCACCAGTGTAGCTAATTATTATAACACTATGAAGACGCCAAAACCGAGGCAAAGAAATAAGCATGTCCACAAAACAGAACAGAACAGAACAGAACAGAACAGAACAGAACAGAACAGAACAGAACAGAACAGAACAGAACAGAACAGAACAGAACAGAACAGAACAGAACAGAACAGAACAAAACAAAAAATGATGTTTATTTTTACAATGAAACCCACAAGGTCAGGATCTTATTGTGATTTATTACAATGGTATCAATATAACGAATCTCTTCAAAAGGCAAAATATAGTAAATACAAAATATGCAACGGCAAACTCTTTTACCTCCTTTTTACCTTGCGGAAATTAGAAATATTTCTAAAGTTCCGTAGACAAAGCCTCCTGGCCTAGCATCTCTAGGGAATTGGGTGGATCGGGAAATATATATACCAGGTAAACGGTACTTCAAAAATATTTTTAGCTTTGGCGTAACAATCTCAAGAGGTTTTATTTTAATTTCTTGTTAGATCTCATGATGTTCCTTCATGCAAAGCTAAAGAAACTGAAGCAGTACGAGACGAAAGCTGGGCGGAAACAAGAAATACTTCGTGAAAAGAAATTGTTTGTTCTGGACAACTCATTACGTGAAAGTACTGTTGGACAACTCAGAGGTCATACGATTGAAAATAAATGGAAGATTTATGAAGAGGTAAATGTAGTGATAGTTTTATTGCCAATGATTTATTTTGTCTCGAAGTTCGAAATTATAATTTGTATATTTATGTCAAGTAGAACGTCTCTATATAGTCCATCTCTAAATTCTTCAACCCATAGTATTATTGTTTGATTGTTTAACAATAATTTTGTATTTGTGAGATAGATAGATGTCAGCCAAGCTGGTTTCCACGATGGAAGTACGTATAGAAAAAATAAGTGGTTAACTATATGACATAATTGTCGTAACAATATTTACAGTCTATAAACTATATAGATAAAGATAAAATTTTAGTTTGTATCAACATGAGAAATAATTTCCGTTTATAGCTTAAAAATACATATATACTGTCTCCTATGTTTGATGGTATATAGGGGGGCTCCATGCTGAGGCACCATAAAGATTTTTTCAAACTGTTCAATGTGTGGGGTTGTGGCAAACACAATTAGTTCGAAGCGCTGTGACGGAGATTATGAGCTGGAAGTAAATAGATTGTACAGACATTCTGACCCCATATTGTCAGTAGGTATTTTAAAAATAATTTTAGCCTTTTTTTCTTTGTTGCTTTACTGCATGTCTCCTATGTTTGATGGTATATAGGGGGGCTCCATACTGAGGCACCATAAAGATTTTTTCAAACTGTTCAATGTGTGGGGTTGTGGCAAACACAATTAGTTCGAAGCGCTGTGACAGCGATTATGAGCTGGAAGTAAATAGATTGTACAGGCATTCTGACCCCATATTGTTAGGTATTTTAAAAATAATGTTAGCCTTTTTTCTTTGTTGCTTTACTACATGGTTCCCATCCAGTAATTTAAACTATTTAATTAAAGCAGTTTCTCGGATACCTCATTGGGCACATTTGTTATATGCGAGCAGCCCTGTTATGAAGCTTTTGTAAACGTATTGAATGGGTAACGTTTGCCTATTATTAAATCAGTGGGTTTCACAAAAAAACACTCCAAACGTCACAAAAGTATTCAACGTGTGGCTGCAGGTATTATGACATTGAAACACTACAAAATTTATATAATTCTCTCGTTCTCCCATATTTTGACTATTGTTCATCTTTATGGGATAATTGTGGAAGCATGCTCAAAGAGAAATTACAAAAACTACAAAATAGGGCGGCAAGAATTATGACAGGTGCCAATTATGATGTCAGGTCGACAGATTTGCTCCATGCTATGTCATGGAAAAATCTGAACGACAGACATAAAATGAATAAATCGGTCCTGATGTTTAAAATATTAAATAACCACTCAGCTCGGAGCTTAAAGGATAAATTTATAACAAGGGACATAAATCTTAGTACTAATTATAATCTCAGAAATGCTGATATAAATCTTTCAGTTCCTAAACCACGTACTGAATATTTAAAAAAGAGTTTTGGATATAGCGGGGCTGTTCTATGGAATAGTTTTCCTACGCAGGCAAAGCAAACAGAATCTTTAAGTAGCTTCAAAAATTTGATAAAATAATGTGTGCAACAGAGTCAGGCATCGAATAGTCTTGGTTTCTTTATTTTTTTTATCTACGTATTTGTTATTCTGTGCTATTCTATTTCATATTTAATTTATATTAGTTTAGCTTAGTTTATATTAGTTTAGAATGTAATTTGTGTGATGTCCCTCATGAAAATCATCCATGGGTGATGAGGGAAGCGTGGTTAAATAAAGTTCTACTATACTATAAAAGTGAATGTTTTACTATCAAATATAAAAAGACGTCGAAAGGCACAAAATCCTGAAGTAATTTTTTAGAAATGTTTTCAGTGTTCCAATTTAATGTTCAGCTGACTCCCTGAGATTCATTGTAGCATCTTTTGTGAACCAACATTACGAATTCAGTGTTTGCTACACCAGGGCTACAGCCTACACTCAGACTTTCCGTAGTTTTTCCAAATGTATGTGAATTTACAAAACTAGTGGTCCTAAAATACTGTTATACTTGTGGTATACACCACATTTTAAGCCATGTTCGATTGAAAGGTAACCGTCAATTGGGCATTTCTGCAGGACACGCTCTGACAAATATGATAAGCTAAGCTCACACCCCTGGGCTCCCGGTCTATGACTTTAGAATTATTAAGTAACAGAACACTGAAAGTGGCGCCGCCGCAAATTTCGAAACCGTAGACGGTCGGACACCTCCGAGATGGTCGGACACCTCAATTTTCTGCGCCCACAAGTAGTTGTGAGCAGCGGAAACTCCTTTGAAAACACTTTGCTTCACATTACTCCTAAAATTCCCCTATTGTACATATGCCTATACTCCTCTGTTTACACTTTTAATACACGTGCGAATTGCAAAATGGAGGATCTTCTCGATGCCGCTATTTCTGGTCAGGAAAATAGCAAAGAATTGCTATCTCGAGTTGAGGATATAATCCCAATCGAAAGCCAAAGTATAATGTAATAAGTGTTAAAGGAAATGACGTTCGCTACCATCAAAACAAATTATCAATATAATTATTATTATTATTATTCATTATTAATTTATGATTATTATTATTATTATTATTATTCTCAACAAGCAACCATCAAAACAAATTATCTGAATGACGAAGATGATATCACAAATTTTGTGAAAAATTATGGAGTTAAAAACGCCGAGACACTTCGGATTTCAAAAACAAAGAAATTTCAAAATACTGCAACGGGCGAATATAATTTGGCCAAGTACTATAGATGTCAACACAATACGAGGCATGAGGGCACAATGTGCCCTGAAGATATTTTGACAACTAATTTAAGCAACACATTCAGAAGATTTTAATTCTACAATCGACATTGAGTGGAATCACAATAATCCCATTCAATCATTAAGTTTCAAAGACATACCAACTCCGGGGGGGAGTGGAAAGGCTAGGGAAAAGGCAATTGTTTTAGTATAAATTTTTAATGAATAAAACAAAGTACCCAAATATCAGTTCAATTAATATTCAGAAATAAAACAGTTTAATTTCAGCTGGTTCACGGTTACTGATTTAGTGTTGCTGTAGTGTTTCTTTTACGCACACGCTTTCAACTGGTTTCCTGTCTACTACAAAGTTGGCCCAATGATGGCGGATCATTTTTGATGATTTCGAACAAAAGTAAAGTGGCGTCAAAGCAAGATTATGATTTTGAAGAGAAGACTTCTTTACTTTTAATAACTATTTTTAATTTTTCTGTGTTGGTGTTGTGTACTCAGGTGAATATGATATTTGTGAATGTTACTCTGAGTGTATATCCACACCGGGCGAGCTTGAAAAATATGCCCGGCCACGGTGGGATTCGAACCTACGACCTTTGGAATACTAGCCCAATGCTCTTCCAACTGAGCTACGCGGTCAGGACGGTTCGAGTAAGTGATATTTCGGAACAGTATCTAGTTCCTTCGATACCAATGTAATCTAGTAATATGATTTTTCTGTGTTGGTGTTGTGTACTCAGGTGAATATGATATTTGTGAATGTTACTCTGAGTGTATATCCACACCGGGCGAGCTTGAAAAGGTATTGGGCTAGTATTCCAAAGGTCGTAGGTTCGAATCCCACCGTGGCCGGGCATAGTTTTCAAGCTCGCCCGGTGTGGATATACACTCAGAGTAACATTCACAAATATCATATTCACCTGAGTACACAACACCAACACAGAAAAATGATATTACTAGATTACATTGGTATCGAAGGAACTAGATACTGTTCCGAAATATCACTTACTCGAACCGTCCTGACCGCGTAGCTCAGTTGGAAGAACTTTGGGCTAGTATTCCAAAGGTCGTAGGTTCGAATCCCACCGTGGCCGGGCATATTTTTCAAGCTCGCCCGGTGTGGATATACACTCAGAGTAACATTCACAAATATTTTTAATTTGCCACCCAAAATGGCGGAAGTCGTGTGAGTGTCGTCTTGTTAGTCAAATCGTGGCACTTTATTTACGTCAAGGTCACATACGTATTTGATTGGAGAGGAATATTTGGTATCATGTATAATATATACAGTATATATCAGTTTGCCGTATATAAAACACGGTCATAAACGTATTTGATAATAAAGGAAAATTAATGTTGTTTGACTTAGAACGTGAAGATTGTGTGAAATATTTAGGGTATTATTGATTGATGGTAATCTCACATGGCAATATATCATCCACATAGCGACGGCAAAATAAGCATTATTACCTCCATCTAGGGGGATATAAGGCGTGTTAGGAGCGTCTAGGGCATGCTCGCCCTGAAAATTTTCTAATCTAGAGTTCTGCATTCTTGGCTCAGTCCTGACATAGACTCGCGGTGTTTTAGAAACCCTTGAAAAGTAGACGAGTTGTGCTTGAAAACCATTGCTCGAATGCCTCGAAATAAAGTAAATTAAAAATACACTTTTCACTTTACAAGTTTCGAAAACACAACACAGCGTCAGGACACCATGCTGTCCATGCATACAGCACAACGAAAACATGACATATTACTGAAAAGAAATAGTATCGTACAAATTGAAATATCTATAGGATACAAAACAAAATGGTTTTAATAGAATATCACGGCAGGTTTGGGACAGTTGGGATAGTTTTTGCTTTTGTTTGGAATCAATGATAGATAAAGTAAACACTTCAGAAAATACATCTGTTATCAATGTGTGGCCTGGCTTAATTCTAAATATATTAAATACCTATATTATATTTCTATATTATTGCGACATTGAAAATTTCCGCTAACAGAGACAGTCCTTATAACCATTTTAACAAAGCTGGTAAAGTTGGATACCTTTCTAATGTCAGTTGGAAATTATAGGTTACATTATAGGTTTTTGCGCCCATATAATAAAAAGAATTTCTGGCATATTCGCAGTATGCATCTTAAGTAATTGATTCAAGCAAGATGCATTTCTTGTGCCAATTGCCATGAGAATTTACCTTGAAATAATTTACAAAATTATTGGGTACAAATCCGTCCAAGCAATTACGAAAAAAATACATGCTCTACGTTTGTTCAAACTTTCAACTCAGTGACTGAGAAACAGATCTTGACCATTACCAGTGTTGATTAGGTTGACAGCGCGATCATGAAAACGAGATACTATTAGTTTGGGTAAGATTTAAATTAAATCCACTATATGTGAACAAAGGAACAATCATGGATTTGTAGATGGTTTTGGCTGTATGATTATTAATTACATAACCTCTTTAACTTATTCTTAGACAATAGTCTTAGACGCCCGATTGCCTTGTTATATACTCTCGAAGTGAAGATACTGTCGTCGGCATATTTGATTATACTTGAGTGTAGATTCGCCAAATCATTAAAATACACCACAAATAGCAAAGGTCCCAAAATTGATCCCTGAGGAACACCTGAATGTTTCGGAGTTTTAAATAAGTTTTAAATTGTGCGTGAAATAATAAAGACTGACAAAATTGACATAGTAAAATAATAAAGGAATCCTACCTTTCAAGTTAAATACAACGTTTTGTGCTTTTTTCGTTTTCTAGGGACGATTTTTTCAATATTTTGTCGATTTTGAAACCAAATTCATTCTTTTTAAAAAGCTGATTATTTACTAGTCTGCTGGTAAATAATACGTCAGATTTACCAGTCAACTAGCCAATCAGAACGTGCGAAATGTGATATGCAAAATTTAACTTTATTCGATTATTTTAGGTGAAAAAAGTTGGCTTTCAGGATATCATTGTAACATCCTTTTCCCATATGATCCGTGTAGGAGATACATTTATCCGTCAACTGGCAGAAAAAGGAGAAGATTTTAGCAGATTTTACGCTTTTACCGAGTTTATTGAATCAATTGACAGTCGAACCAAAATTCCTGACACAGACACCATTCCCGTTGGCTTGATGAAAATGAAAGAGTTGGGCATTCGAAATCCGATCATAGAAGCTGATTTGTTTCATACCAGCATCAACTACAAAATATTCAACGCGAAAAGAATTACCAAACTTTTCTCACAAAGAATGCAATGGATACGAAAAAATCTTTCAAGAGATGCCAAAATCTTTATCAACCTTCGTGATATTGCTGAAGCAATAATCAATAAACCGAAGCGTGTGTTTGAAATTGTTAAATATCTTTCATCGTTGCCAGCAGACCTACGTCCTTTTGGTTTGATGTTTGAAGAACAAACAGGAAACTACTTTCCAGATCAACTTGGTGCTTGGACAGCCGCAATACGTCAAGAAATGGACAAATGTGGTTTTCAAGATGGTCATTTGTTAGTTCATATTCATGAGAAGTGGGGATTAGCTCAAACGAGTCAGTTGGAATGTCTTATCAACGGAGCAAGCGGTATTTGGTGCAGTGTATGTGAAGAAGGAGCAGCCTTAGGTCATGCATGTTCTAGTGTGACCTTATTAAATATGATACGTTTGGGAAATGAACATGTCTTAAAACAATATAACTGTGTTGAACTACGCAGAGCTGCTCAAGAAGTGACAAGAATAACAACCGGTCAGGAACCACATCCTAAACAACCTGTGTATGGTGAACGAGCACTGGATCTTGTTATGGATGGTACCGTGGGTTCAAATCCTGACGATGAAGGTTTCTGTATGGCAACATTCTTTGGACAAGAACCACTGATGAGAATGACAACAGTAGCAACACCAAGAATGGTTGTAGAAAGACTAAAAACATTGTTTGGTGAAAATACTCAGTTTACAGAAGAACGAGCTCAGAGAATGCTTCAAGTCATGTTAGAAGATCTACATGAAAATAGAAAAGAGGAATACATGAGTAAAGTTGGTCTCGCTGTCTTATTTTATCGATCCGGTGGCACGCTTACTGGAGCAATGGCTAAAGCTATTGAAGATAAAAAGCCAGAAACACTTCATGGTGAAATGATGATTGCAGAAATCCGTTGTAGAAAAACAATGCTATTACAATTTATATTGTAATACTGTAAGGATAGACAGCGAATTCCGGCGGACGTGATTGTAACTTGCAAGTCCTAATAAGTAATAACCCTTGGAAGTGCTACGTCACGCAACTTTCAATAAACATTAGGGATACATAGGGGTCAAACATTCGTTTTGTCTAACAGTGACGTAACGTGAAGGGTTTTGTTAATGAAAATTTCGATCTCGGTAGCTGGACTCTCTAGCTCGGTTGGTTGGACCGCTGCGCCAGATGGCCTGTAGTTGCATTATTCGCAACTGCGCCTGGTTGAATCTTAATAAATTATAAAATTTACACTCGAAATGTCATTCAACAAAATCCTTCAACAATTAATATAATGGAACTCTTTAGCCTGCAAAACCCGGTAATTTCACTCATAGAATAGGAAATTAGTGTGTTTTGAAGCTAACCCTGGTTGCTTTGTCGAAGCTATTATAACACTATTAAATATTGTTTTTCACAAAAACATTTACCTACACAGTTATATAAGCTATATAATGAATACTTATTCAAACTTTTAACATATTGATCGATCGTAGGTAGTGATCAGTTCGAAAGTTTATGCTCCTTTGATCACTATACGCACCTTACTAAATTAACTTGAAATTATTAATTCAAAACATAATCATTTGTAAAATCTATACATTTTCCTTGTTTTGTAAATAGTGCAGTTTCTGAATAAATCTTGAAATCTTTTAATCCCCGAGCCAACGGCGCGGAGCGTCGTTCCGGGCGAAATTCCGGGGCGAGGGTACTAATTCCGCCCGGCTATTTACACCCGGGGAAACGACTTATATTTCATCTCACTGATCTCAAAATATGGCTGTTTGCCAGGAGTGAAGAGGCAACAAATATAAAAAATGCATGTCGGAAAGCTTGGAAAATCGTTTCACATAACAAATTGTAAATCTTTTTACCATTTTTAGACGTACACATTTATAAGAATTGATTTAGTATGAGAAATCCTAAAGTATAGGGCAAGTTTGTTTCAATTGTTTATGTATGACTTTGTTAATGAATAACGATTTTTAAAATTTTTCTGCAAAGCTGCAAAAAATAGATGAAACTTGAACACTTTTAAACACAGAAATATCAATTTTATATTATTTTGGTTTCTATGGGCTTATTTTAATATAAAATTCAAAACGAAACTCTACGTAAAACGTTTTTAAATGTGAATTGAAATCAGCTGCTTTTTGCCGATATTTATATAAACTCTTCAACTCAAGCTTCTACTTATTACTCGCACTTTGAAAGGAAATAATTTAATTCGTGCAGGACGCTATTAAAAATGAAAATAATTTGCTTTCTTTCATATCAAACTTTCGTAATACAAAAAGTAGTTTCAAATTTCACGGATTCATATTTCACAATATTTGACCCAAAATAAGGCAAAATTTTCCACTTTTCTCGCTCTTGTTTCTTATTCACAAAGAATTGCGCTCGGACACCACCAAAATCATAAAATATGGGCCTTCAGACGTCCTTTGAATGTGTTTTAACGAGCAAAAAGAGGCGGTTGCGCATATATTTAATAGTAATTTACACTACGCGCTCGTCATCGGCTCAGGTAAATAGGCTCTAGAGCCCATTTGCGCATGCGTATGGCACCGAACACCGCCAAAATCAAACTCCTCGTGAAATTTGCTACATTTTAGTATAACGTTTTATGTATTTATTTGCGAAATAAGTCCGTCAAAATGCGTGTGAAGCTAGGTTATATTTTGCGGTTAGCATCCTCGATAGCTACGGCGCTAGCTGAAGCAGTAAGACCGAATACTGGAGAAGTATCTTCGACTGAAGCTCTCTGCCTTTGTTCGTACATCATATAAGCAAGTAAGACTATATAATTTCATTATTTTACAAGTTGACTTGCGGAATTGCGACAGATTTTAGTATTTTTTTCTGGTATTTATAGCATAGTCGAATTATACATATTACGTACTAGTTCTAACACTGTAAGTGTTCTTCCTCTGTAGGTTGAAAATGCGAGACGAAGACGAGCTTTTTTAACCGGCTTGTCTGTATTTAGAAATCAAGAAGTGGCTTCTCAAATGAATCAATACTTTTACTTTAAGAGAAAGCAATGTGCGCTTTGATCTGTCTGCCACATTTATTAATAAAGAATGCGCGCATAATTGCAGTGCGAGGCACTGGATACTAGCTTACTCAAATGTTCGCGTTAATGGGTGAAAGTTTGATATGTTTATCAAATCATTCAAATGAACTTCTTCAAATTAGATTAATTTAACTAAGAAACGTTTGCAAACAATGAATAGGAAATACTTGAACATCAAGAACAAAGTCCACATTATTGACTTGATTTCTAACTTTTTTGTAGTGTGACCAATCAGTCTCTAGCTTGGTGATAATTGCTTTTCTTCAGTTTTAGTTGATTCGTGTTGCCATGACTAACATGACGTGCAACGCGAGCCTGCGTTCAGTGTTGGCGCAATTATGAACACTTCATGTTGAAACAATGTTTGGAAAATATAGGCGAGGGGTTGTTGCATGCATATTTCTAGTTTACCCAACTATTTTCGGGGTCCAATAGTTTTTACCCAACCTTACTAAATTCAAGATTTTAGAAATTATTTTTGTTGGTGTTATGTACTCAGGTAAATATGATGTTTGTGATGTTACTCTGAGTGTATATCCACACCGGGCAAGCCTGAAAAATATGCCTGGCCACGGTGGGAATCGAACCTGTTAATGCCATTTCCATTTTCCTGTTAAGGCCATTTCCAAGCATGAAAGTATATTTTAGCTATACTTCAAACTATACTAGTTGTTTTTTTTATACTGCGAGCACGAATACATGTCTTTTGTAAACATGTAAATGGAACTATGGACGTATAAACTCAACTGCCAACGCTAACAAATTAATAAACGGCAAGTAAAGCTGTTTGATGTTCATGCAGTTCAATTAAAAAAGTGGCGAAGGAATGAAAATGAATTGCGGTCAGCAAATTTATTGAAAAAGCAAGTGAGTTGAGATTTGAGGGTCCAGGTGAGCAAAATTGAATACGATATTGCAAATCATTGATACTGCCAAATAGCTCAACAAAAAGTATGGCAGTTTAGAGAGGATGAAACTTGAAGATATTTGCGCAAGTATATTTATGGAGAGAAAGAAAGGGGGCCTATTAGTAGTGAATCACTTGTATAAAGACTGACCAAAAGAATATTTTATACGTGAAGTTAATTGGTGCGGTGATGAAGGGGTGTTAAGCCCCTGTTTTCAGTGAATCAGTTCGCAAATTAGTCAATGGGTCGAACGGTCGATGAACTATAATCTATAGTCGGTATTTTTTTTTTGAAAAGAATTTTGTGGACCATGGCAGGGTTTATTTTAAGAAAAGTTTAGAACTGCACATATTAGGGATGTTACGAAGCATCACGTGTTTGACTGACTTAGATCTTTGATGCTCAATGACAGCATTTCTGGCATCTGGAGAATCCACAAGGAAAACGAGTAAATGAGAAAACTGTTTTGAGGTTATATTGTTGTTAATTTGGTGACTGCACATTTGAGTTTTAAGAACTGCACAAATAGGTTTAGAACTACACATTTTGTGTAGAACTGCACGTTAAAATAAACCCCGGACCATGCAGCTCAAGTACTAATTATTGCAACGAATACGCAGAACCAGGAATATTCTATGACGTTTGATATATTGAGGAGAATTAATGTTGAATTATTTTGGTGAAATGTGAAATAAATGCCAAATGGCATTTATTATTGATGCAACAATACCTTTAAAAAATTATAGCGGGCGTAATTGTGGCGCATTAATTTTGCGGCCTCTCTCTCCTCCGACAGAGCTTTCCTAGCTTTTTACTGAACTAACAAGGGGAAGCTTCGATATCATAAGACATAAACAAGGGATAGAGGCTGGTTTCGCTCATTACAGTCTAGCGCCTCTATCTCTCGCTTCGGCGAATCGCCTGATATCGAAGCTTCGCATTGTTAAAAAGCCAGGAAAGCTCTGCGGAGGAGTTTTGCGGCTAAAATGAATAAATGAGCGGGCTAAAATACATTTTGCCAGCAGTCAGTGTTTTGAGCAATGTTTTTAGCATTGCCTTGCATGGTCTGGACTGGTATAAGTGTTTTCATCGACGAAATGACGGTAAAAATTAAAATTACAATTTTCCAAAATTAAATGAGCCTCGTATTTAATCAGCTAACTTAATATTTATCAGCTGAATATTTAATTCTCAACATTAATATCATGAATTTTAATAATAAATATTAAAGCCCAGCAAAGTGCTTTTAAAAGAGCCATAAACCATTAAATTTAAATTTTTTTAATAAAGATTTAGTAACGTTTCGTCTTAACTTTAAGACATCTTCAGACTATATTAAATTACAAGCTGTAAGAGTAATTAAGCATAAATTAAAGCTATCATAGCAATATTAAATTACAAGAGAGTATGAGGTACACAAAACGTAAGGATAAGAAAGGGTAATGAAGGGAAGTGACGAACAAAAATGAAAACATACAAATTGGACGACAACACATACAGACAAAGAGAGAGAGAGATCAGAATAGGTGAAGAGGAATTGAACTGCCTTGAACGTTGAGAGAGGGTTTCATTTTAGAGATAAGAAAGCTTTCATGAATAAGGAGTTCTTGGTCATCTGAACAAGAGGAGAGGATTTCAAAGTCGTCAATAGAAGCAGTGTGGCCTGTGGATGTAAGATGTGAGAAAATGCTGGACTGGGGAGGATTTTTACATAGTTTGCCAGTATAGGAGTGATACCCAGGTGTTCCGAAACTCGGGTGTGTAGATGGCGCGTGGTTTGACCCACATACGATGCGGAACAGCATTGACACGTAAAAGACTAGTACACTACACCCGACTTCAGAGCTTTGGGTATTTTGTCCTTAAAAGAGAAAAAGGTGGAAAGCTGTTTAGTTGATCGAAAGACAAATCTTATATCAAGATGTGGGAAAGCAGCA